TACATGGGCTACTCTCTCTGCCTTGAAATCCTCTCCAGAACTCAACTTTCAACGGGTTAACTTGGTCCAGAGTCGTGCGAGCTGGCTGTAACCCTATGGTAGGGGTAGGGGTATACCTGAACCCACCACGCCCATAATCCTTTTATGGCAAATAAACAAACAGCGTCACGGCGACTCAGTCGCGAAGGATTGCTGGAGGCATTGCTAGGTAAAAAGTGCCAAAAGGGTGCAATAAACGGGGTTGAGATCTTGGCCAAAGGGTACGGAATGGTATATGGATAGAGATAGGGAAGAGTTGCACACGCGCAGTGGCTTTGTTGCACACTCGGTTTTATGGGTGTGTGGTTTTAGCCCTTTGATGGGCATGATCATCCTGTTAATAGAAAGCGTGGAAACCCGCTGCAACAGTACCTGCCCGCATACGAATCTTTAATCCTTTTCGCGGCGATCCTGAACCTGAACCCTTTCTGGTCATGATCGCCGGCCACTGTGTGGAGGGGCGAGCGTATCTAAGGCGATTTAATTAACGCGGTCGCAACTAAGCCACCGATACCAGGACATGGCTTAATTCGGAATGGAACGGAACCCTTTCTCGAGAGGCGTTGGCCCTGCTAAAAGCCATCCGGCTACTGTTCCGAGGACGGGTTAAGGAAATGGATTCAGTAGCATCATGGGCGTTATCGGACAAGTCGGGCAAGCAGCGGTGGGCGGAAGGATTTGGCTTCCAGCGAAAGGATTGTAGGACTTAACTTTCGGAAAAACTCCAATATTTACCAAATACCGAAGGACCAGGAAATGCACTTTTATATAGCCCTTTGCCCGGCAGTCGAAAAGTCAAGTCTGGTTTCGGGATTTTACCAACAAATTAACCGGCTGAGCTGGCAAAGCGAGGATCCAAAAGTCATCGAGGTGTACCCATTTCCAAGGGATTAGAAAACGTAGCTCCCTTTTGTTGTTTTGTAAAAAAGAATATATATATCCTTTAAATTTTTCAAGAATTGCCTAACAAAGAAATAAACTACCAAATATGAAATTTAAGTCTCTTAAAACTCAATTAAGATAATAATACACATTGCCTTTCCGAATCCTAATATCCAAAGTTATAAGATAACTCCATAATTCCTTGATTTTATTAATTTTACTGTTAGATCTGTATAAAAAGTAAACCCGTTTTGGACTGCCCCTTTTTCAGTTATGCGTTTTCCGCATCACGCGATCCCTTCCTTTTTTGCCCTTATAAAGTCGCTCGACCAACCAACCTAAAAAATGCGACACAAAAACAAACGCAAAATGAAACGCAGACAACGGCCTCGTGAGGAAGAGGAGGAAAGTGTATTTTTGCATTGTTTTTTTTTACCTGTTGCTAAATTTAGAATGTCTGTCGTCGGGTATTTGCTGACGTTTGTGTCGAAAAATTAAGCCTTCTACCGCAAAAACCCCACCCACCCGGCGGCCGACCCCTCGAACCCACCGCACCCCGAACCCCTCTTTCGTTACCAAAAATAAAATTCTGGTCAAAATGCGTCGTTACGCTTAATGAGTAATAAAATACTTTGCACAATGTGGGGGAACAAATGCGATTGCCAACTCACTCGCACCTCTATATGTCTGCCTCACTCCCACTCTTTTAGCCTCCCACTCGGGACTGCCAAAATTTACAGCGCCATTAGTTGCAAAAACAACAGCATTACCATACTCACAGAAAAAATTTAATATTTTTCCAACCTTTTTGAATAATTTATTCTGCCTTTTTAGTTTATTTTATAATCTTGTGAGAAATATGTGTATTTTTAGGTAGAGCTGTATCCACTGTATCTAACCTATTGAGCCTATTTGTTAAAAATTATGATAACCAAATCATTTCAATTGTACAATCCTTCTATCCAAAACTTTTTAAATGGGTTCGTCTTATTATTTTTAGATCCCTTTAGGTAAGCAAAACCACAAAAATTTCCCAACTTAGGTAATCGTTTTTCTCAGTGCAGCAGCGACAGCGGATCGCGCAAATGTGGCGCGCGTTTTTAACAGCGTTGGCGATTTTTATGGCGTTTTAATCGCGAGAGTGGCGCGCGCGGCTAGAAATTTATTTTCGCCGCGACCATGGAGCGTCCGCTCGCTCTCTTTCTCTTCCTCTCTCTGTCTGTCCCACTCTCGAGCGTAACAGTTGCTCCCCATCCCCCACCAAGTACTGTTATTTTTAGTTACATGCCGCTGTTGCCGACTTAAAAGCGGCGCGTGGGCGATTCTGCCGCTGTTAAAATCGCGAATACGCTGCTACGATCACTGCACAGATGATGCTTACATAACTATGTAAATAATATCTACAGGACACGAATAATATTACTTTGATAATTTATGAAATTAATACATTTATTTCAATATAATTATTTAATGTAGATGTTGATTTTAATGTTGTAATATTTTCTACAAGTAATATAAGGGCTCTTCTGGTCCCAAAAGGTGTACAAAATTATGAAAATCATAATTCTATCATATCATCATTTTTTTCTAAAGGTGACGAAGACTAACAGGGCTTATGAGGAATCTGGGGACCCACGCAGTATGTCATTTTAATATTTTTCAAAGTAATACATTCTTTTGAAAGGTAAGAGACATTTATTTGGAAAATTGCTAATATCCTTTTCTTTTAACTTATATAGAAAATCATTAGGTATTTCTTTTCTGTGTGATCAGTGATCATCGGTGGTGATTAGGACTCACGGGGCTTACGGGGAATTTTGGGGGATCTGGCGCTGTCTAAACTTAGACGCAATTAGCAATGCGCACATTTCTGTGTGCTTGCGCCTTTTCGACTATAAATTTTTGCCACAGTTTATTTTAGACGCTGCATGTGATCGAGTCCGCCAGCAACAACAATGACAATAACAACAACAATGGGGCGTCAAATTGGGCGTTGAGCGCACAAACAACTGCGAATGTATCTGTATCTGTATCTTTTAGTGGTGTATCCGTGAGATACATCCACACCTTTGGCTTTTTTTGGCCAGCGAGCATGATGTAAAACGCCGCCAACGTTTTTCCGATCTCTCGTTTTGTTTATTTTCTTGTTGCTTTTCGCTGCAATTAAATTGGCATGCACAAGTGCCGCCTCTGCCACCGCCACCGCTGCAGTCGCTGCCTCTGCCTCTGTCTCTGCCGACGTTGACCGCGGGCGGGCCGCCTTTTGATCGGCTGCCAAAATGTAATTGGAACGCGAAGGTGTTGTCGACGTCCGCCACTGCCGCCTGAATATATTGCCGTATTGCCCGATTGCCATATTGCCATGTGTTCTCGGCATAAACAACCTTCCCTGGCGACCACAAAACACTAGACAGCCCTCAGAAATGTCAGAAATTCCCCAAAATTCTTGTGGATTTCGCCAGTCGTTTAACACGCATATTTGTGATCTTGATTGATTTTCTCAGATTAAATACAGTCACTATTCACAAGAATTCTTTTGACTAGCTATATAGTTGAGCCTCTTATCCAAAATCCAATGAACTGCCTTGACTCACCTCTCTCAAAGTCAAATTAATTAGTAGGTGACAATTTCTGCATTAAGGAATTTTCAGTTTTTCCATGTTCACCTAAAAGTATGGTAAATACCCGCTTTAAATATCGTATATCTACTTTGACTCATCTGCCACAAAGTGAACTTAATAATTACATACATCACAATTTGTGGCTTTCAAAACTATCTTCTCATTGTATCCTCTGTGAATGAGTATTTACAAATTTTCCCCAAGAACAAACCTCAAAAATAAAGTAATTTCCCGATATTAGATATTGTAACCCAAATATTTGTCACCTCCCTTGACTGATCTCACTCGAACTTAATAATTAGATGGTAATATATAGTTAGTTATCAGTTCTCAGAACTATAACAATATATTTTAAGTTATGGGCAGTTACTTAAAAATTCACTTTCGTCATTTCCCAAAATCCTATGACGTGCGTTGACTAATTTTCTCCCCAATAAATGAAATAATTACTAACCCATTTCCACTTAGAGAGAGAAAAACTCCCCTAGAGTTCTATTAATGAATGGCTATTTTTGTGCGACTATCTGATGCCCAGCTTTTCCTTGTTGTGGCGTGTAATTACAGCCAACCTTCGATAAATCACTACTCCGAAACAAAAAACTGAAAAAACTGAAAAACGTGAAAATCCAACGCTGCACGTAGACGCCATCAAAGTGAATCTAAGCGTCGGTTGGAGCACGTGTGATCCACGCAGCCTTGTCCGTAACGATTTCCATTTCATTTAGCTGGTCGGTCGGCTATCGATCAAAAAGCAAAGGGCGACCTTCACTTAATTGCGGCGCACGGCATGGGGAATTAGTTGAGTCTACAGACTGGTCTGGAATAAAAAAAGGGGGATAGCTGTAGCTGTAGCCACCCACCACCCACCACCCCCACCCCACTGCCCCATCACACAACCACCCACTTCCGCCTGGCGTGCGCACAACCTTGTGATCTTGTTTACTGTTTAGCGACCCCCGAGCCTCGGATACATATAGCACACCAAAAAAAAATAAAGAGAAAAAAAACCGAACCTGTCGCACTGGGGTGGCGTCATATAGCCAGCTATTTTCACCTTCTATGGGACGTCGTAGTCGTCGCGTTGGCCGCATGAATCAGCAAACCACGAACTGCGAACCACCAGAAACGCCAGAGACCGAAGCAGAAACAGAAACACAGCCTCTTGTGAATCCCTCGCCAAAGCTGATCGCCAATGGGGGTTTCGCAGTGTGATTTCCAGAAAGGAAGAAATGCCCATTCCCAAGGCATAGGGGGCGTATGAGTAACGCGGGGCTGAGAGACGACGACTTTAGGTACCGCTCACACACACACACACAGTCTCCCTGAGAGCAGGTAGCGAATATAGTATACCCCTAGGTAGCCGAAATGCCCCTGTATCTGTGTGCGGTCGTGTGGCTCGCGCTCGCGTCTCGCAGCGGCGATTTAGCCAACGAACCTGTCGATCAATCGTCAGTCGTCCGCCGAGAGCCCCAGCGATAAGGTAGTCCCGCTACGCTCTGCAATACCGCCGACATCCGACATCCCAGACCCAGTAAAACCTTACATATACCCATCCCGAAGAGCCGAACGATCGATCTTCAGCTTCGTGCCGAGTCGTTTCGGTCTTTTAATCGCACTGCAGCCAGAACCTGCTGCTCATTCGCCTGCCGTAACTCGTAGCGTGCGGTTCTATCGCTCCGCTTAAAGAAAACCGTACCCACATATCAAGAGACCCAGAGAACTCGAACTTACGTACTTCTCTGCGACGCTGCGCGAAAGTGAAACCAAGTGAACTTGAACAGAAAAGCAAAGAAAAAATAGTGAACTCATATTGCAAAGAGCAGCAAATCCATATTTGCTGCCAAGTGAAACCCAAACTGTGCCTCAAACTCAACAAACAATATCTGACCGAAATGGTTACCGGCGTAACAGCAGCCAACATGACCAACGTTCTGGGTACCGCCGTTGTGCCGGCCCAGCTTAAGGAGACGCCACTCAAAAGTGACCGTCGGGTAAGTGTCTTCTCCGGGGAATACAAAATTCCTAAAAAAAAAACACAAGCCAAAAACCCCCTCGAAAACGGATTAAATCAGAACCCATAGTTGGATAACCAGAGAATTCCCTTAAACGAGAGCCACCCACCTCGAGCTCGACTTGATTTCCATACTCGCTGTGGGCGATTCGACTCTGTCCCCATCAATCCCGCTGCCCAAATGCATTTCCTTTTTAGCCATCTCCCACATGGCTGAATGGGGTAAAATAAAAAAAATAGAAAAAACACTCTAAACCAAACCAAAAACAGCCGCCGTCGGCGCGCCAACACAAAGCGAATTTATCTCGCGTCGCGTTGGTGGCATTTACTATATGGCATATGCCTACTACTCCGACTACACACGATCGATCCATTCATGAGTGCCGCCCAAAATTGGCTGGCGGAGCTGCCCACCAGCTCCCCGGATTTGGATTCAGATTCGGATTCGGTTGTGGCTTCCACTTGGCGCGTGCGTCGCGTGGTCGCTGCAATTGTCGGTCATCAGCCGACGTTTTTGGCCATTTGGCGACCGGTTCATTGATTTGGCCAAACGGCTGACTTCATCCGTTGCCAAATTTGGCAACTTATTTTTTATAATTTTTCTTGATTTGTGCCTAGGCAATCTTCGAATTTCCCGCACTGACCTTGCCGCTCTCGCAATATCTCATACCTGGTTGGTTTATTTATAGACCCCTGGCTGTAATTTATAACCGCCAAACTATTTTTACCCATGCCTCTCGCCCCGAGTGGCGCTATAAATAGAGCACGCGCCGTGCGACTAAATTTGGCCGCCAGCCAGTCAATCCGTTCCCTCGGATCCTCCCCAGCTTCCGCCAACCTCCTTCATCCAATTAAAGACCCATGCAGCTTCCTCTATTTTTGGGTCGCTGCATGAGGTCAAATTAGCCATGCAAAAGCCGTGACTAATCGATGTTTTTACCTTTTCTTGCAGTCGAACAAACCCATCATGGAGAAACGCCGACGCGCCCGTATTAACAACTGTCTCAATGAACTCAAGACTCTGATTCTGGATGCCACCAAAAAAGACGTAAGTATCTAAAAAGGGTTATAATAAAGTATTTAAGATATATTCTTAAAGTTAAAAAAAAATATTTAAATCAAAATTTAGAATTTTAATTTTTAAAAAATAAAGATATAATATCCAATTAAAAAAAAATTTAGCTCAATATTTCTTAAAACAATACCTTAAACATTTACTAATTTTTGAATTTTCTTCTCTCTACTTTTAGCCGGCCCGCCACTCCAAATTGGAAAAGGCCGACATTCTGGAGAAGACAGTGAAGCATCTGCAGGAGCTGCAACGCCAGCAGGCTGCCATGCAACAGGCCGCCGATCCCAAGATTGTGAACAAATTCAAAGCTGGCTTTGCCGACTGTGTGAACGAGGTGAGCCGCTTCCCCGGCATTGAGCCCGCCCAGCGTCGCCGCCTGCTGCAGCACCTGAGCAACTGCATCAACGGGGTGAAGACAGAGCTGCACCAACAGCAGCGCCAGCAGCAGCAGCAGCAGTCCATCCACGCACAGATGCTCCCCTCGCCGCCCAGTTCGCCGGAGCAGGATAGCCAGCAGCAGCAGTCGACGACGCCGGCGGCGGCCCCCTACCTCTTTGGCCAGATCCAGCAGACGGCCAGCGGCTACTTCCTGCCCAATGGCATGCAGGTGATCCCCACCAAGTTGCCCAATGGAAGCATCGCCCTCGTCTTGCCCCAGAGCCTGCCGCAGCAGCAGCAGCAACAGTTGCTGCAACACCAGCAACAGCAGCAGCAACTCGCCGCCGCAGCAGCAGCAGCGGCAGCAGCAGCAGCCCAGCAGCAACCCATGTTGGTGGCCATGCCCCAGCGTACCGCCAGCACCGGATCCGCCAGCTCGCATTCCTCCGCCGGATACGAGTCGGCGCCCGGAAGCAGCAGCAGCTGCAGCTACGCCCCACCCAGTCCGGCCAACTCCAGCTACGAGCCCATGGACATCAAGCCGTCGGTCATCCAGCGTGTGCCCGTCGAGCAGCAGCCGCTGTCGCTGGTGATCAAGAAGCAGATCAAGGAGGAGGAGCAGCCCTGGCGGCCCTGGTAGAGGATGAGGATGAGGATAGGATCGCCCCCGTCCCTCTGCCGAATCTCCCGCTGACTTAAGACTGACCCCCCAAAACTCATCCAACTCACATGCGCCGGGCGTTGTGCGCATGCGCGTAGACATTTCACATCATTCGCCGGGATAACGCAAATGTTGCTTCGAAGTGCCGCAAACATGCGAATCCTTAGACGGTCCACAGCTTCATTGGTTCATATTTCCGGTCCTAGGATCTCCTAGGTCCTGGAAATCCATCGATGAGGTTAAAGGACCTCCATCAGACGCACACACATACACACACACACACAAAACGTTGTTATAACTTATTTATTATTATTATGTAATCGATTTGAGAACGGTATTCTACCAGGACATCGTCAAACTACCTCAGTCCAAGTACTTGGTGTTGAATTGCCTCATGTATCATGTATTACTACTCTTTCAATAACAGCAAATCAGCAAAAGTCTTCCATACACTCAAAAAGAAAACGAAAAAAAAACAAAACACTTGATAAGCTGAAATACTTTTTATGAAAAAGATAAACGCAAAACATAACTCTTACACATATAAATAGATGTACATCTCCATTTTATAATATAGGTTTTGTACCATAGCCCGCTAGGTTTTCTCTCGCTCTTAAGTCTAAACAAAGAATAATTATATTTATAAAACACAAAAAACTATTCGTAAGGCCACGTGATATAGTGAACATAATGAGCTTCTAAGAAAACAAAACAAGAATTTGATGCAAACAAAAGCAAAAAAATCAACAAGAAAAGAAAAAGCAAACAAACAACATACTAAAAAGAAATAAAATTAAAAGATACTACTAAAAAAATCAAATACGCAAAAGAGAGTTGTTATTGGTATGGGAATTTCTGTCGGTTTCGGGTGAAAGTCCCTTTTTTCGTGGGGGTCAGAATGCAAAATATATAAATAAAACTGACAAGAGTCTTATCGAGCCCCTGACTTATCGTAGCAAATTTCGACGCTAATTATAATGCCCATGGTGAAATTCATTACGCTGGAGGGGATCAGTGGGGAGTTCCACGATAATATAACTACGTTTTTAAGGGGCTCGATTATTGCTGTTTCTGCTAATGCAATCGGCACGACGGGTTGAAGGTCTTTTTGCGGCCAGACCGTGACGGATACAGATATAGAGTCTATACGTTGCCTTGATTTTCACACATCCGGACTGCAAGGCCTGATAACCCTAAAAAATTCCACAAGAGTGATCAAATAGTTGTACAAAAATCCCTTGTCTTATAGTATTTCAAAAGATTTTGCAATATAATCATTGATGTTTCACTTGAAGTACCGCTGAGTCTAAGAAAATATTTGGAAATTTAAGTCAGGTTTGCCTTAATGGCAATAAACCCGGAATTCCTCTTGCTGACGATTCAGCACAATACTGAATTTCTTAGGGATATGGGATTTCAAGAACTTCAAGGCAATACCACTGGGAGTCTATCCGGTCTGCTCTATCTTACGCCTGTTTAAACGGCTGATAAGGCTGGTTGTTATATCATATAGTGTTTCCTCTCTTCGGAAACTTCCTGGATTTATCCAATCCGTTCCAGTAAGTTACAAGGCTCGTTACTCAATAGGGAAAATTGTTACCTACCGGCTGTGGTATGGAGTCACGCCCTTCAATCCCCATATGTACCATACTACCCCCACTCTTATCTGAGCAAATCCCGGGGCCATTAATCGTCATGCTCGTGACAAAAGTTTCCGCGAAGTCTGCGGAAAAAATACCGCATCATGCTGATAATATGAGAGCGATAAAGCGGATAAGTAAATACATTTGTTTTCCATTTGCTGGTGAATCAAGTGCACAGAGCAAACAACTTTCAGTTGTTCATCACGGGTTGGATTCCCGATGCAATGCATCTGGACTTGCTCTCAATCAGCGGCTGACCGACTGGATGCACTGGCTGTTCACAAAACTAACTCGTGCAGCCTCAAAGTCCGGGGAAAATACTCGTAAAACTTAAATTAAGATTGTAAACAGCAGCCGGACAGTTGCCGCATGTTCTAAAATATGAAAACACGCTTCATGGAAAGTCCGATTGGGTGGTTGGGTGGTTGCGTGGCCAGGCGTTTGCCCCACTGAGCCTAAAGTGCATTTGATTAGTCACTGTGGGCCCGACTTTCGGCCCATCAATGAGTCATGGTCCCTAGTCTAGCTCGAAATAGCTTAAAAATGTACCAGTACCGCTAAGTCTGCCCATTTATAACAAAACCCCCTTTGACGAAAAAACAGCCCATTGAGTCATCATCGGCTGACTTAATTAGCTAAGTCTGTTATTTTTTGCGAACCGAAGTTAAGCAGAAATCCGTAATAAAAAACACATTCATGTTTTTAGGAATTTATAAATATATGTACTATCAAATGATTAAACAAAATATGTAATCAGTGGGAAGTGAATGAAATATGAATTTTTTCTATACAACAACCAGGAACTTACTCCCCTGCACTCATTTTATATTTACGCAATGATAATATTATTCACATCACTCTTGTTTATAAATAACTATATCAAGCATTCCGATTAAACTAATTAAAATGCTTAGTAAGCCAATTCTTTTCCCTTCTAATGTGATGAAACTAAAGTGCTTTAATCGAAAATGTTTTAAAAAGGTTTCATTTAAGAGGTTATTAGATAAGTATAAAGATTAATAGAATATATGTAGTATTATATTATCTTGTTTGGTTACAGTTTTAGAAAGTGTTGTTTTGTAAGTTTTTTTTACAAATATCCAAAATTGATTTGGAACCCTTCTTTCCCGATCCGTGTGCAAATTGCGATTTGCATAGCTGCATTCCTCAGTAGGCAGTCACCATGTCGTCTGATTTTTGGTTCTGCTTGAAAGTCGGTGGTCCTTCAATTTGATCTGCCACCAGCCACTCTGGGAAATGAATTCGCCACAGTTGCGCACAAATGAAATCGAAATTAAAGTCCATGGGGGTTCGGGGTTCGGGGTTCTGGGTTCTCTTGGGTTTTCTTCTGTTGCGATAGTGGGGGTAGTGTAGAACTCAGGGTCTCAGTGAGACATTTGAGGCTACTCGCGACTGCGTGGAGTGCTTCTACTCGCCGGTTGTCACGTTTTGCTCTGGCAAATGACCCCAAAATAAAAACAAAACCGAAAACAAAGCTGTTTGTTTACGACGACTCGCGTAGCATTCTGTGGAATTGTGGAGCACTCCACACCACTTCATTCATGGTGACTGAAGAATTCGCGGAACTGCCGTCCAGATAAGCCGGAGTCAAGAATCGCAATGGGAATAGGAATCTGCAGCTGGAAATTCGGGGGGTACGCATAAACAAGTTGAATGAACCGGGTCTGGGGGCCGAGAAATTCGCGTCTCTAGAGCCCATTTCAATTCTAATACCACGTCTACTTCCACAACCACTTCCCCTGCCAATTGGCAATGTCAAATGCGAGCCAAGTTTAATGACTCGCCGACGTCGACGACGACGACGACTTCTCTTGACACCCGCACTGGCTTTGTTTTGGCTTTTTGATATTTTCGTATTTTGGTATCGAGCTTATCGAGCTTTGTTTTCTCTTCGGGCCCCTTGGGTTTTTGAACTCGTTATGCGAGTCTTGATTAGACATTTCGCATATGAAATGAGTGCGAGTCCCGTGCCGTGGATCTCGGAAATGTTAGGTGCTATTGAACCATGCGCGGCGGTTCAAGGAGACTAGCCGACGAGATTCTAGCTGCTAACTGGGCCTAAACACAGTTACAGAGACGGCAAGGTCGTTCCGTCTGGTTTTTCGGTTTTTCGGCTTTCGTCTCTGTTGGCCAAAAGACGTGATCGGCATAGACAAGCGGTGGCTTTGACATTCAACTCGCGGTGCGGTGGTTCAAGTGGCACAAACCAAACCACTCCCCATCAGCCACTGGGCAAGGTCAGTTATCCATAGCGTGGCGGCTAACTAACCTTAGCCATTTCATTTGATTTCGTTCACCCAGTTACAGTTTACACTGCGCCATTAAAAAGTTGGGGGAGCATACCAGCCTATTTACTATTTACTATTTGCACAGCCTATCATCGCTGATAGGGAAGTCAACACCTGAGCTGAGCCGCCGAAAGGGAACCACCCTATTCTATCACCTTGAGCGGCACGTGATCGCCGATCCGGTGGTTCGGTGGATCGGTTTGGTGGTGCGAAAGAATTTCCCTCGAGCAACCTGATCGTATGATATTGGATCCATGGGGTTGGGGGCTGGCTTCGCTGGAATCTCCGCGGCACTTCATGTAAATAACAACGGTGCTTCGATATATGTATGCCTGTATCTTTCAAACCCCTTACCTCATCTTGTGCAGAGACAAAAATTCCTTTACTTATTAATTCAGTTTTATAGGAAGAAATCTGTTTGAAACTCGTTATATATTTTATATCATTGGCGTTTTTGTTATATAAATCAATATATTTTAAGGGCCAAATCTGTATACCCAAACGACTTTTTTAGTTAGCACTTTTTGAGGTCACTCGATATATAAATATATCTAATTTAATAATTGATTCTATTTTAAACCAGTTTTGTTAAAAAACATTTATCTAGGTTCTTTTAAATTCATAAGGCTTTTCGATTTTGATTAGAAATTCATTTCTGGTCTCTATGCGATTAAAAAGTTCTAAGAAAAATCATTAAGAATTCGATTTTTGAATGCTAATTTTTCGCAGTGTTCTCATTTGCAATTCGACTTTTGTTTTTGTTTCTTTTCTGTTTTTCAGTTGTGTTCGGCGCTGTTCGATCGCATCCACTTACAGGCCCCGGTGCATTGGAAACTGCAGGCCACGCAAAATATTTCACTCAAATAAATATAGCCGTTTATTTTGGGAAACTGAAACAAGCAATACCAAGTGGAAAAAAAGTAAATAAATAAATAAGCCAGCAAATACCGCAACGGAACCCACTCGAATCACGTTTTCTGTCACGCAATTTGAGTTCTTTCAATGAAACGGATTTGAAAATGGAAATGGCGCAGTGGGCATATAGATCCACACTTGCATACCCGTTCCCGCCATTTCACCACTCGGTGGTTGACTTATCAAGTCAAGTGCTGGAGAAAGAAAGAGAGATAGGGAGTTCGAAGTGTGGGTTAACTTCGAATTGGGCAATTGAACGGGCAGCTTCTGTTTGATAGTGGTCAGCGATTGTTATGGTCGTTGTCCATATAATCTGATTAAGTGGACTCAGCGGTTCCCGACTGAGTGTTAGCCATACTTCTAGCCATGTTTGCAAACTGAATAGCCTCTCCCTTTAACCTTTATCAAATAATGCTGTCTATATTAATGGGATTGCAAGAGGTTATATTATAAATATTCATTTTAATTCTCTAAAAATGATACAAAATATTTTCCAATAAATTTTAGTGTAATACTCATACATAGAACACATTTTTTCTATGGGAAAAACTACAACAGCTTGAAAGTTTACATATAATTGAATGTAGTACTATAAAGAAATGATAATACAGGGTTGCCTAACATCTTGTTCATCATTAGAACTTTCATTTCATTTGGCACAAACAAATATTATGAAATTCATTTAATATTTCCCGGAACCCGTACTTTAGCAACCTCAAAATTCCCTAAAAATAAATCAGAGTGTGTCATGGTTGTCTAATCTCCTCTACGTTTCGCTATGGTAAACCGCCTACTTAATAGCTGGCAAGTTCGAACAGGTGCCTAAGCTCCGTGGGGCCATGTGAAGCGCCGTCAATCTTATCGGTGTCGCACTGT